TAAGTGCAGTCCAGCCCAGTGTTATTCTCGGAATGATGAATAAGTTCACTAAGGTCAGTCGGCATTCGTTGACCTGTGGAACCACTCGACACCATGTGCTGCTAAAGTGTCCACGTGTATACGCACATGCGTCCATCTACGTCCATTCGAGACCCAAACATTGCACCTCCTGGCTTTGACACCGGTGCTCTAACCATCATCCGCATCAGGACATCGACAGGACGATGTGCACATCTCCATCATACACGTGAACTTAAAGACAAGCCACAAGAGCGCGATTCTGGGCATGAAAATGAATGAAAAATTAAAGACAGCCCACAGTGCGATTGTGGTCATCGGTAAACTCCTCTTTCAGAGACAGAACGAGGAACATGTGTATTTTATTTGCACGTATCACACGCAAAGTGCTTGACACACAAAGTGCTTGACACAAATTAACCATAATACCTTACTGATCTTGTCAAGGGCATAAACCATCACACAAATTACGGTCGTCCTCACCGCGGCTTGTGGCTGGCCCTCGAACAAAGACGGTCACCTCGCCGCGCGCTTTCATACGCGCTCTGATATTTGAAGCCACTGGAGCTATGCACTTTTAAATGCAGATTGAAAACTAATTTCTTTAGAACTGCTTCTCGTGTTTAGTTTGTTGTTCTTTAATCTTCATTTAAAGCTTTCGTGACTGCAGGAATCCATACTCTTTGGTTCTTTCGGTAAAGTCACGTAGATAGAAAAATTAAATTAAAATAACAAAAAATTATTCTTGTTCTTCCCCCGCACCTCCGATTAACGCGGTTGGCTACGTCCGGTGCGAAAGAAGCGCAACCGACATAGATAACATACACAGGTCCAAAGACACAATTCAAACCACTAAGAAGTATATGGGCTTCGGCAGGACTATTTTCTGGAAGGGATGATTGCTGTAGGTCAAGAATAATGATGGAAATGGCAGCCAAGGGATGAAATGAATCAGAGAGGACCACTATCGCGGAGATGGAGCCATGGAAATGAGCTCGTGCGCAGGTGCTTAGGTAGATAATGACATCGCAGGAACATGAAGGATGGAGGTGGCTTTGGGAGCCTTTCATCCAGGATTGGATTGATCATGGCTGGTGATCACTTTTGTAACTTTCTAACCATCCCATGTTGGACATCTGTGAAAAGGAACTTCAGAGCTCATTGGATTTTTCCAGGATGAATAGAGATTTGGATTTGGATCAAGGGAGCAAAACTCTTTGCCCAGAAGATTCAATCTTAAGGGCGAGTCATCTGCATTTTTTGGGAAGTTCAAAATGTTTACTTAGCCTTCTGAGTACTTGGATGTGACTTCGTTGTAAACACGCTGAATAATGCCCCGTGCGTTGCCTCTCGGGGTTCCTATTTATTTTTGCGACATGCTACGAAATGTCCGGCCACTTTCCAACAACAACAGTGGCTTTTCTACGAACGCGTGTCCACAGGCACTTTAACAGATTGAAGGCAATTGACATTGGCAACAGCCTTGAATAAAACAGACATCACAGCGTTTGGAAAAGGGGGTAGAGACATCCCGTTCCCCAGTACCTGACAGGCAGAGTTGCGTACTGCTCTTGCAGAATTTATGTATGTACCAAGCAGGGTGCCCAAAGCCACGGCTTTGAGTCACATTTTTCAGAACCTCTTACTGACGCACGGTCCCCAAATTTGCGGTGTTTGCCATTGTATATGCGGCAGCAGATAAAGACGCTTCGATCTCCATGCTTCCATCTGTGGGTGCAATTTGGCTTTTTGCCATTTGGTTATTTACTTACTTATTCAGGTTCTGCGATGAGTGATCCGCTGGGTTGGCACATTGTCTCCGAGTTGCGTGGCATTCGTTTGACAAGTTCATATCCCCCCCGCCTCCAATTTGAGATTCCCTTTGCACTGTCGCCTGCACACACACCTCTGCCGCCGAGCGAGGTCTGCTCGCTTGACATTGATTTGATTGAGCTCGGAGTTGCAGAGCGCGTGCCTCTAACCCGGCGCTTTAAACTCAAGGGTCGGTAAAAAATTGCGCGTGTTTTTTCAAAACTTCCCGAACCTCGCCAGGCTCGTGAGAGGTGGTGGTTTCCAGAAAGGACGATACGGAAAGAGACCGCGCGGGTTTTTGGAGCGTGCGGGCGCGGTCCCTCTGGGCCGTTGTCCCGTCGTAGGTGTGGGCTTTCTATGCGTGTTCTGGTCTTCCCTCCGTGTGCTCTGCTCTTCCCTCCCCACGTAGTTCTCGCCTCTCGTTAGCAAGGAATTAACCAAACTTTCGAGTGCGGGGGGTGAAGGGGTAAAAAGTAAAGAGGCAGCTGTGAGTTATTTTGCTCGTGCCACTGCTGGCCAAAAGAGCCTTCCCTTGAGAAGGCTTTTTTAAAAATGTATTCTTCCATGCTGGACAGTTTCCACACTGGACACTCTACTCCACCACACGTGACCTACGAATCAAATCACTATGGGGTGATCATTCCTTTTGCAAAACCAAACTTTGATCCCAATCCGACACTGGTCATTTCCCTGGGTTCTCCATTCCTCTGTGCTTTGCGGTCGTAGCCCTGGAACAAAGATGTAATTTAGTTCCCAACAATTGTTGATCGTGCCTTGTTCCGCTCGAACTGACCTCAAGCTCAACTTTGCAGCCTCTTGTTGATTTGGGTTAGATCGCGTAAATATATAAAAGTGTGGTTAAACCGGCCACCATCCGACGCAGCCAACTAGTAAGGGTTGTCACGTAAACAGAACGTGCCAATTTGTCACTAGTACAGCACACCGGTGTGTTGGAGTGCCAAGCTGTACTAGTAACGAATTGGCACGTTCTGTTTACGTGACAAACCTTAATAATTGGCTGTATCAGGTTGTGGCGGGTTTAACGACACTTTATATATTTACGCGATCTAACCCCAAAAAAACCTCTATTATGGATGTTATGGGTCGCGAAAGCCTACAGCGTGTTAAACTCTTGTTAATTTTTTGCGAATTCTCAATGGTTGTCATGGAGACTGTCGGGGATCAGCACATCCGACACGACTAATGCTTTATCTCGAAGCACCTTCTGCCTCCTGCTCTTCAAGAGCACCCGATGGAACAAAAACAAATAAAAATAAACCCTCTTCGACTTGAGAGCGGCTATCGGTAGAAAATAAAAGCTTCCATCAAACTTCACCTTTCCCCTCGACTGTCTCCGCTCGGCCGCCTTTCAACCCAGCTCACTCCCCATGACGTCTTGGATTAGAAAAAAAATCGCCAGAATCAACGGCACCTACCTCATTGCTTGGAAATCTGTTCGCAAACCGACACATTTCAAACATCCAAGTGCATTCCTTCGCCCACCGGAGTCTCGCTAGCAAGCTTCTGATGTGCCCATCCGGTTAGCACGGTTGCCTACGTACTGTGCGAAAGAAGTTCAAGTTCAGTCTTCTGGCAAGTGTGCTGTGAACGTTCCCTGCCCCTTGTCCATATTTCTGCGTCCTTTCTTGCCGCGGCATAATCACATCGCCGCTTCTAAATTTGTACTTTTATTTTTTTGCCGAGTTTCATATCCCATCGTGTGCGTGCGTCTCTCATGCTGTTTGTGTCTAAAGCGGTTAGCGCGCTTCGTGATGAACCCGACGGGCCGGGTTCGATTCCCGCTCGAGGTTAAAACCAGTGACGATTACCTGAACCGGTCTTGGGCCTCCTCTGGGTCGACTCAGCCTCAAATAAGGACCTGGTACGGTGTGTAAATGTCACCACTGGAGAGAAAAAAGCGGAAGGGCGTGGTGCTGGCAACAAACCACCTCGTGTGCCGTGCCAGCTTTCATAGGTGCTCGCTAACAGCACTTGCTCCAACAGTCTGTTGAGACTACACGGGGGATCTTTGTTCTTGATGTTCGCCCCGCTTAAAGAGATTTCCCATTCTGCTTTGTATATTTGGCTTTGTTTTTTAACAAATCAGCCATGCATTAAAGAAGGGCACATTGTAAGCAAAACATTCGTCTTTTTTTCAATCTTCAACTTTGTTTATTCCAATTAATCGCACTGTTTCAAACCATATTGAAAAGATATTTAGCAAATTATTTGATGCTACTGTCGCCGCTTTGGCAGTAGTGCCCAAGCACAATTAACAAAACTCATGAATCCAAAACGCTGCCGTAATTACGAAAATAAAATATTGGGCGACGTTTTGAGCAGCTGGCCCTTTCATGTAGCACAAATATATGGAGGGCCGGATAAATATTTCGGGCATGTCACTGGTTCAACACGCAGATGCCAAAATATAAATGTCACTTGTTTTTTGTCCTTCCCCCACACCTCTTGATTTGCGCGGTTGGCTATGTACTGTGCGAAAGAAGTTCAACATACATACATTAACACTGCAAAATAACATCGTCGACAATAATGATGATGACGATGACGATGTAGATTATTCTGCTGCTGATGATTCTGCCACCGATGATGAAGCAGATGATACGAATAGCTGATTCAAATATATCTGCTCGCTGTTGCTGCCGCTGTCACTGCTTATGATGATGATGATGACATCCGAACATGAGAAGCGTGGCTATCAAGAGGAGGGGTCCCTTTTGGTCAATCCTCCTCACTCTGTTGTGAGTAGCAGGTCGATACTAGAATCTCATCGCTTTGCTTCTCGAAGAGTCGCCAGTGAGTCGGCTTCCACCACACGCGTGCTGTGTGGGCCTCCCAGTTGCAGACTCCCGCCGCTCTCTGCTTATGAAACGCGGTCGCCTCCTCCTGAACTTGCTCACCCACATGGCTTCCACCCCCATGGCCTTCTTCTGGTCCCCTCTCCTCTGTGTTGAGCTGTAAGTAGCAGCAGGAGCAGCGGTAGTAGTAGTGGTGGCCTGTATCAACTTGGTCGATGGTCTTTATGATTTGGTACACCTGGATTTGAGACCTGATGATGATCATCACGATCACGATAACGACGACTGCTATCGCAACGATGACGAAGGCCGGGCGTGCGTGTGTCTGCTGCCCCCCCCCCCACCTCTACGCAGCTGCGTGGAGGAGTACCGCCTGGGTCTGGACGGGCGCTCGTGCATCCTGACGTCGGAGCCATGCCCCGACGCGCCCGACTGCCCGTCGGACGTGCGCCCCAACCCCAACGAGACGCTCTTCGCCGAGATGCTCCACGGCCACGAGAACTCGTCCGGGAGCCTCGGAGGCGGTAGCCACGGCGGCGACGAGAATCGCACGGATCACCTCGGCAACGGCACCCGCTCGAGCGACATCACCAGGGGACTGATCTTTCGCATGACCTTCCGGTGAGCGTAAACTCGGGGGGGTGGGGGGGCTGGGTGTGCGAGTGGTGTGTCTCGTTGTGTGGGCGATCGTCTTGGCATGTGACAAGAGAGTGTGAGTGTTTGTGTGAGAGAGTGTGTGTGTGTGTGGGGAGCGGTGGGGAAGCGGTTAGCGCGCTGCGCTATGAACCTGGCGACCCGGGTTCGATTCCCGCTCACGGCTAACACCAGTGACGATTATCTGAACTGGTCCTGGGCCTCCCCTCGGTCGACTCAGCCTCAAATGAGTACCTGGTGCGGTGTTTAGTAAACATCGCCACTGCGGAGACAAAGGCGGGCGGGCGTGGTTGTGGCCACCCACCTCCCTCGTGTGCCGTGCCGGCCTTCATAGGTGCTCGCTAACAGCACTTGCCCCTACAGTCTGTTCGTGCTATTCTGGGGGGTGGTGGGGCTTTGTGCTGTATATCTGTCGACTCTGCCTCAAATTGAGTCTCGTGTGTAAACATCGCGACGCGAGAGACCAAGGTAGTTGGGCATGGTTATTGGCTGCCCACCTACTTGTGTACCATGCTGGCCTACATAGGTGCTCGCTAACAGAACTTGCCCCAAGAGTTTGTTAAAGGCTCTACGGGGTGGGGGGGGGGTCTCTGTATCGACGATACAGTGGCTAATGGTGCAGTGTGTAAACGTTAGCGCTGCAAATGCAGCCAAATGTGGTGTTGTCCACAGCACACTCTCATATGTCACGAAGGCCCTAATAAGATCTCACTCAAAGCACTTGACCCAAACAGTCAGTTAAAGAAGCCTATGAGGGGGGGATATGTTTTCCTATGTGTGAGCATGTGTGTGTGTAATGTTTATCTGCCAGTCATTTAAATTCAGTCAGGACATTGGGTCTATCCCGTGAACTCCTACAGAGAGGCTTCGACGCTTCACGTGGCCCCAAGGTGCACCTAGCCTGGCACCAGTCCCCTGGTGACGACATTGTCACTTAGTGGCGTGTGGCAGTTTGTTGGTGTTGTTTTTGTGTCGGAAGCTGTGTGGCAGCAGTTCATTAACGCCACTTGTCCCAACAGTCCACAAGGCGAAGCAGTGAATCTGTGTACGTCTGTGCCGTATATCAGTGTTGGCATGTGTGAGTCCAGCTGTTTGCATGTAATAACAGGGGGCGGTGGGATATTCACACGTGTGGAAGGACACCGCTTATGAAAGAGCCGGACAATCGTCTTCATAGCCATCCTATAACTGAGACGCGTGTTCAGTCTATCCATCAACTATTTACCAAGCACATATATAAGTATGAAGCGTGATATGATAGATAGGCTTTTGTATCTATCTTAGCGCAAAAAAGCGTGAACTGATGCATCATTGGAATCGCATTGGGAGGACAGAAATAGGAACGTGGATTGGAGAACATTCGCCGGTCAATAATTCAAACTGTAAAGAAAAGTCAGCTGGCTTGGGCAGGACATGTTGGTGACCATAGGTCAAAAATAATGGCAGCCAAGGAATGGACACGTGTGTTGGATGGACAAGGAGAGGAATATTAACAGCGTGTTGTTCGGAAATATGGAACGAACCGGAAAGAGGGGAAAACCTTGCGGAGTAATAGCTTGGCGACGACATAAGAGATCGGTGCGAGAAAGATGCGGCACAAGACAAAGGAAAGTGGAAACAAATGACTAAATGTGCAGTGGACACCCTCTGGGCTATTTGCTCATGGACCATGAGGATGATGATGATGATGAAGAAATGGAATGTATCCGAGAGGATGTCCACTGACAGAGATGGTGCGATGAAATCTGCTTGTGTGCGAGTCCTCGGAGGATGACAACATCGCAGGTTTGTGGGTTGGCGATGGCTTGGGGAAGCCTTCATCCAGCAGTGGATCAATCAAAGCTGATGATGATGATGGGATTTGTAGGCCAGGATGATCCATGCAACGAGTTGAAAGGCGAACTCACCTATTAGGAAGCAATTTAATATATATTTTTTGTAAAGACTTCAAAAACACATTTATTTATTTTATTACTTCATAGGCACATTCAGCCCGTGAAATATAAATGTCTCATAATGTGTCATTAAAGGGGCGTTAAAATTTCGCTATTGCGAGTCTCCCCTCGATTGGAACGCCCTCGCGCGCCTGCTGCCGCCTCTGAGATTGCCGCAATCCGAGGCAATTGTTGTCTCGGTTTGTTGTTGTTGTTGCACAGCCATCGTCTCTCCGCGCACCCCCCACGCAGAGGGGGGGGGGGCTCCAATGAGATAGACACGGGCCTGCGGAACAGCCCGATAACGCGAATTTTTAAAAAAAATTGTCTTGCTAAGCTGGGGTGAGGTGGATGCGCAGACTGCGTTAAGATGCCGACACGTGCTTTGAGACGATGAAACTTCGAACAAAATTATCTCCCCCTCCGCCCACTCCCCCTCCGACCCCGGCCGGACTGAATAACGACGGGCTTCGCCTCGTGATTATCCAACACGGGCGCTGGTGGCGGAGACCTCGGCGTATAAAATCGGCACCAAATTCACTTGACGCCCTCGTTACTTGGGGGAGGAGAGTGCAGAGAGAGAGAGAGCGAGAGAGAGAGCGATCGTAATTTTTAGCGGAGGCTTTTTGTCGCAGCGCGTGCAGATTTAACGTCGCGGAGATCTCAACCGCGAGCAGAAGCTGATTGCGCTGCGTATCCCATAATCCTCTCTGGCTGTCTTTCTCTGTACATTGTAATGTCTCCCTCTGATGTAAATGCTGCTTTTTATGCTTGATTTACGCCGTCTAATAACAATGCTCTGGGAGAGAAAAAAAATCTGTCGGAGTGTGTGATTCAACTGACAGAAAATTAAATCCACATTTCACTGAGCAAGGTCACTGTGGGCTCCCTTGGAGTCTGGTATGGGGGTGGGGTGAGACTGCAATTCACCCCGAGATGTTTGGCTTTTTCCTCCAAGGCCTCGGACTGGATACAGAGATATATATATAAAACATTGCCTCGTACGTGCATTAGACGGGTGTGAATTTGCCCCTTGCACTGGGACGTACAATATTAAAACTACCTCTACTGTATTCAAATAGTGCATACTTGCAGTGGTCGTTATTGACTGGAATATGACGGAATGACATTTCTGGAACTGCATGGTACATTTCCACCACTCGTGCGTTTATTCGACCAATGATTGTTGTATTTCTTCCGTCGTTTTTGCATAGAACTAGCATCCATTTTAACTGAATGGGTCCTTGCCAAAGACACATCTTGCATTTCACCAAAAACTGCTTTCAGAAAGCCTTACTCTGCTGATGAGATAATGTGTGTGTCAAACTCACTCCATAGTTTTCTCGTGTTGAACCAATGCCGTTGAACAAATGTGTGGCCGATGGGATGTGTAAAGAGGAAATTTATTTTCTTTCTTGTTCACAGACAGACATTGGACGGAGGTTATGTCTGCTGAGTTAGTTTGTAATCTGCACTATCCATAACAACCCTCAATGGGTTTTTTATGCATTTATATAAGGATTTTATTTTATGCTCTACGAAACGTTGCCATTTAGACACTTATTCTAAAACCACAGTCTTATTGACGGATATGTTGTTGTTGTGTCACATTGAATACGTAATGCGGCGGTGCCATAATGCATGAGCCCTGGATCAGTGCTGGGATGGGCGACCACCATGCATAGAACAAGTTATTGCGTGCTACTCTCAGCAGGCGGAAGTGTGGCAAAAAACCAAACGTTGCACCCCGAACAAATCCTCCAAACGTCTTCTTGGTTCTTTCGGTAAAGTCACGTAGAAGGGAAGTAATAAAATAATAAAAATAAAACATAATAAAATCAAATTATTCTCACGACGTTTCGGCTATAACGCAAGCAGCCGTCTTCAAAATATTGCCTCGTACGTGCATTCACCTGAAGACGGCTGCTTGCGTTGTAGCCGAAACGTCGTGAGAATTATTTGATTTTATTATGTTTTATTTTTATTATTTTATTATTTCCCTTCTACGTGACTTTACCGAAAGAACCAAGAAGATGAATCCCTGCAGTCACGAAAACTTTAAATCGAAAAATCCTCCAAACGTCTTTGCCGACAGCCTTTACCTAACCCGCACACTGAGCGAGTCTGGTCAAATAATGCCCATGACCGGCGTGGCACGGGGGAAGGCCTCAATCCAGCAGTGGAATGACGGAGGGCGCTGCACGCGGACATACCATCGTGGCCCGTACGGTCGACACAAGGCGGTGAAATTGCTCGCACGGCCGAGGGAAATGTCGTAGCTCGAGTACGAGACGTGCGTTGGGAATTGTAAGATTGCTCTTTTTTGCGCATACCCTCTGTGCGAGTATGGCTTTAATAAATCAATCAGCCTTAGCTTTGGCGGGCATTATAATAGCGATATTTTATTTCCGATGGGAAATGGCTTTGGAAGATGGAAAGTCTTGAAATTTGCAGCCGATGGGGGTAATTTTGCATGAGAATCAAACGTTGTGCTCGAAATTCAACTCGGAAGGGGCTGATTTCACGTCGGTGGCAATGCTGTTCTTTGTTTGAGCGGTAGCATTCGCACCAAAGAAGCCACGGACCGTGTAGTTTCACAACTCACAGTTAAAAATAAAAGGGGGAAAGTAATGATTGGGGCGCGATATAGCGATCGGTTTCGCATTTTCTTGCCGTTCGAGGGACCGTCGGGCAGCTTTACCATCCAGTTTGGCCGATCGCGTTACAGGGCGCCGCGGTGGCGAGCCGTAATCTTCCTCGCCTGGTATGCAGGGATTCATCTTCTTGGTTTTTTCGATAAAGTCACGTAGAAGGGAAATAATAAAATAATAAAAATAAAACATAATACAATAATTCTCACGACGTTTCGGCCACAACGCAAGCAGCCGTCCTCAGGTCTGTCGGGGCGACAGCGTCTGAATGACGCTGTCGCCCCGACAGACCTGGTTTTCACCTGAGGATGGCTGCTTGCGTTGGGGCCGAAACGTCGTGAGAATTATTTTATTGTTTTATTTTTATTATTTTATTACTTCC